CTGGTATAAATGTGTAGGAGAGACTCGGGGACTATTTTATAGACTGTCTGGTGTCCATTATGACAGGGCTACTTCACAGTAGAGGCTGGTATAAATGTGTAGGAGAGACTCGGGGACTATTTTATAGACTGTCTGCTGTCCATTATGACAGGGCTACTTCACAGTTTCCCAAGGTGTCATTTAATTTCCCGGTTTGCTCTAGATGACTTTCTGGAAACAGCAAAATGGTTCTGTAAAAATGCTACAATGTCTGGCTGTCTGCATCAACTCACTAAAGTTTTAAATAGGTGCCTCCTTACTTTGCATCTCTTGTGTTTATTTTTCTGCTTATTCAGATATGAACATCTTTCAGTTGCTAATACAGTGTAATGTGTAAAAGAATAAGATCCTTGCTATCTAGCCTTTCCTGTAAATGGTGAAACTAAACACATTCAAAATAGTATTTCTTCTTATGTACTGCTGCCAAGTAATATGTAATTTGCAAATAAACAAGAAGTGCACATTTCTTGTTAAGCAGAGGCTTCTAAGAACAATCTTGGGATTACAAATCAATGGTATTTTCTAGTAGCAGTTTAAGTTGGCTTAATGCTTAATCCAATTAACGCAGAATGAAATACAAGCAATGCTATAAGCAACACCTATTATATATGAAAACAGTTATTCTATGTTAAACCACATGAATACAAAGAGGTATACGTAACAGATGCTCAAAATCAAAGTAATAAAGCAGCAAGTCACAATGACTTGACTCTTTACTTTATGTATTAAATGGAGCAAAAAAATCTAGTAGCTCCGAATTCACCAGATTTTGCTCAGCAATGTTATAGACAGGCCCTTGGTAGTATTTATTAGGATTCACTACCTACAATATCACCAATCGTTGTGCAAGAATTTTTGATTGAGCAAAACTGAAAAATGCAGTATTTTATTTGAATCAGTATAGAAGGTGCTTTAAAGAAAGAATTTGAGAATGAATGTGTAATCGTGTCCAGAATGGTACCTAGAAAGATTAATGGTGGATATAAGAACCTAACCCAGACATTACTGTTGAGCAGAGTGGTACATGTCAGTATGGGCCTTGAGAAGATTGTCTGTTCCCTGTAACACTAGATCACCATCTGGTGTCCCATAGTCCTCTTCCAGACATTAGTGTTGAGCAGAGTGGTACATGTCAGTATGGGCCTTGAGAAAATTGTCTGTTCCCTGTAACACTAGATCACCATTTGGTGTCCAATAGTCCTCTCCCAGACATTACTGTTGAGCAGAGTGGTACATGTCAGTATGGGCCTTGAGAAGATTGTCTGTTCCCTGTAACACTAGATCACCATCTGGTGTCCCATAGTCCTCTAGAGAGGCAGAACTAGTGATGTAACCTTGGTCACTGGCCCTGTTGGACGTCACAACCACTTGGGTGGCCACCATTGAGTCGGAGTTATCCTGCATGGCAACAGCCACAGGGATGAGTTCACTCACAACACCCCCTACAGCAGCCACACTCTGTGCTAGGGATTCAGCACCACTCACAGTGGCCATTTGCATGGTGATAGGTTCTCCAATACTGTTGTCCAGGCCTGTCATCATGGGAAGGTGCATCGGGACATGTTGGGCCTCTATAATGGTGATAGGCTGCATACTGCCATTGGCTCCAGACTGGTGAGACATGAGTTGCTGGGAGTGGTGAGGCATTAAGTGTGTTTGGATATCCTGGCCTGTGGCAGTGTTGCTGTTCTGTATATGTACTGTTACATACCTGGGCGCCACAGCAGGCGGAACAGGAGGAGGGGCACTAACCTTTACACAGAAATCAGGCTTTTTACTTGATGATGTTATGCTACTGCTTCGTGAAACACGCTTTTCAGGTATGCTTGATAGTTGTCCCCCTTGTTCGTGGTCATTCAATCCTACCACTAGTTGTTCATTCACATATATACCCCCTGATCCATTCCTCACATTCTCTTCCTGAACGATCACATTGTGGGCATCTCCTGTAGCGTCTGGCGTTGTAGACGACTTCTCCTCTTTATTATCTAGTGTCATAGTATTTTCTACCCGGACACCCTCAGCTTCAGATGGAACTCGTTTTTTTGGACGGCCAACTTTCCTTTTATTTCGTGGCTTAAATACATGGGCCTGACCAGGCTTTAATGGGTGACATTTATGAGACTGAAAAAGCTTTGGTCGGAAAAAGCCTTTTCCACATGTTTCACACTTGAACTTGAAGTCTGCTCTATGCCCACGCTCGTGTTCTCTCAGATGTGGTTTCCGGCCAAAAGAGCGACCACACTCGCGACACTTATAAGGCTTTATTCCACTGTGTGTTAGGATGTGAGATTTTAATTTGTCTGGACGATTAAATTCTTTCTGACAACCTGAAATGACAAACAGAAACAGTGAACATAAAGATAACATGGGTGTCACTCTATGTAATTAATAAATATAATATACGCAAATCAACAATGCATACAAATCATTCCATTTTTTATCAGATTAAATGTTATAAGCAACATTAAATGATGTATAATATCCATGCATGAGAATGGGTCAATGAGAAGTCAGTCATTTACTCTATCAATATAACAGTACATCTTATTAGATCAGATGGTTTGGTTTGTTGTGGTTTTACGTCCTATTAACAGCTATGGTCATTTAAGGACGTGCCAGGTTTTGGTGGTGGAGGAAAGCCAGAGTTCCCGGAGAAAAACCACCGACCTACGGCCAGTACCAGGCAACTGCCCCACGTAAGCCTCGAACCCGCGACCCAGTGGTGGAGGGCTAGTGGTAGCAGAATGTCTGACACCTTAACCACTTGGCCATCGCGGCCCGGCCCCTGATCAGATCAGATAAGTCATACGTAAAAATACAGCATTAGGATACTTTTGCAATCATGCTTCCTGATCCATTTTCTCCCACAAGATTGAGTTTTGGTTATTAATATCAAAACATTTGATTTCTATAAATTGTTATTATATGTATTGCCCTTCCATTAAGGAAACATGAATACAATGAAATTGTTTTTACTGAGAGAAATAATTTTCTCAAGGGGCAAAAAAAATCCAAGGAATTTCAGGATCAGACTCAATGCAAAATATAGGTCAGCTTAAATAAACCTTCGTGATTTTCGTGATTCTCCTTACCAAATTAAATCAAAATACATGAAGCAATTCATGTTAAATACATCAAAACTTACATAATACATTCCATAACAATTTCAGTCTGCCAAGCAACTGTATTTATTATTTTGATTCTACACTTTTTTTGAAGTTTTAATTATTTCTCCTACATGTGTCTATATGTTGTACAGTACCTGTGAGAGCTTTGAAGGGACACCGGTAACGTTTGTTAGAATCATGTATTAGCATGTGTCGTTTGAGCTTGTCCTTTCTGTTAAATGAAGCAGAACAGACATCACACTGGAATGGTTTCTCCCCGCTGTGGATTAACATGTGCATCTTTAGGTAGTGTTCTCCCTTAAACCTCTTCTCACATGTTGGACACTGGAACTGTCCTGTGGAGGCAAAACAAAATTACTTTTTTAGTGCATAATCATGGTACATTTTATAATGAGATATAACACCCTGTCTAGCTAGAACCAAACCCAAATGGGCTTTAGTTCATACATTCATACTATGTAAGTAATTCACAGTAACTGCCTTATAAGGTGCTACATGTGCTATCTACTGGCCATATGCAACCTGGCTAAATGTCTCCACAGGTGCGCTGGAGGAAATTTAGCGCTCGGTCTTGCAGTGCGCAATGTTTCCAGTTGCAACATTTGTATAGTGCCATCTTACCTGATGACACAGCAACAGCATTGTACCACGCATTCAAAGTATTTGAGTTATTGGAGTTAAGTAAGTAGGACAGAAATACCTTCTCTGAAAATCCATGTTACAATGACTTCAGGGATTATTCCCAGCCATCTGTGAGGAAGGCCAGAGAGTTAACCCCTTTGACAGATCAACCCATGTACTGGTACCGGTAGTTCCTGGAGTCCTTAGTTTTCTTTTTCAATTCACTATCTCTCTTTGAAAAATGTTATGGTTATTTAATTTTTGCTGTCAAATTGTTTCAGACATATGACATAATCACATGCATAGAAACTTTCAGAAATCAACTTATTGTTTTGCACTCTTTTTGGTTTTGGACTTATTGGAGAGAAGTGTAATACCCCACTAGTTGGAGTATGTTTTACGTATTTCCCTACCTTCTGATCCATGGGAAGGAAGATGGCGCCTCAGGTATCTCTCACAGGTGAATGTTTTCTCACAATGGGGACAGGAGTGGTTGTGGGTAGAGGTTGCCAAGTGATGTTCTAAGGCTTCTGGGGTTGAGTACTTGTTCATACACTTGGTACACTGGAAATGTCTGAAAGTAACACGAATGTCATTCTTAACTGTTTCTATGGGCTTAAATAGCATTCACATCTCAAATGTGCTATTTGCCAACATACAGCATGGTTCTAATGGTGACGCTCATAATTGTATCAACTGAAAACCAAGCTTAAATATTGGGTATTTTTTTAAGTTGATGTCATTTCGAACAATTTTCATGAAGAGGACAGGTTAAATCCCACTGCAGTCAGCACATTTACATACAGGTTGTGATTGAGGATTAATATACCTCTACTTTATTTACTCTATATAAAAGTAATTGGTTAAAAACGAATATATCCCCACTTTTGCCTGACTGTGTTTTAGTCCTGTGTGTTAGTCTGGGAACTAAAACACACCTACACGCGGGTGTTTTTGCCAAGCCAATCTGGTGAGAGTTGGACGGAGCTTGTTACTGAACTCAGAAGCGACGCACGAGGTGGGAGGAGCTTGCTACCGAACTCGGAAGCATTTGGCTCCATTCTACAAAAGGGTAGTTGGGACGTGAAGCTATACAGCTGATGTTTTACACATATTTTCTAGTTAAAACTATCACTCCAGTGTGTATCGGTATAATAAAACGGTTAAAGTATGGTGTTGAGGGATATAGCAAATTTCTGGTGTCCCTTGATCATGCCCATTTCCCTCGGCTTCACCTTGGGACACCAGAAACTTGCTATATCCCTGAACCCCATACTTTAACTGTATACTGGTGAATGCTGTGTAGTGATATAGTGGAAGCATCTACTGTATGGCGATTGTTTGATTTTGAGTGTACAGCCTGAAAAAAAAAGTATGAAATATAAACCTTGAGATATGTTGTCATGTAAGTTTGAATTACTGACTATTAACAGTGTTGAACAAAGGAGATACTCTACAAATCGGTTTCAGAACCCAAAATACGAATTTGACCCATTAAATTAAATCCTGATGCACTGGTCTGTGCTTATATTATTTGTGCAGGTCTAACAGTAAAGTAACTACAGCACTGCAAATTCATCAGTCACATTCCATGTAGCATCCGACATAGTACTGTATCTGTTCTTAGTTTCACATGTTGATGCTCATTCACGATATACCGGTAATGATGAGGTTTTGTGTGTCAGCCTCTGATTTAGCGAGTGAAATTTTGCAAAATTTTACATGTGGCAAAAAGAAAGTTTTGATCCCTAAGCTTACAAGATTTGACTTTAATTGTTAGGTGTCTAAGGTGTCAATAAACCTAACCTATAGTTACCAATGTAACAGGAAAGGGAATATTGTGCTTTCAACGGGGATCAAACCATTGATCCCCAAGTTCCTAGTCGGACGCTCTACCACTGAGCTAAAGGTAAATTCTCTCTAGCTCGAAGCTAGAAGGCTACCTTAATCCGATGTACAATTAAACCTGCCGCACCAATAATGTATAAGTTTTAATTGAGTGCTTCGACTGACCTTGGGCCAGGCTTGATCCCCTGGTTTGGGTAAAGGCTGTGAGTGTACTGGTGGACACCAAGGTCATACAAGGTCGGGAAGAACTTGTTACACATATGACACCTGTAGGACATGTCTTCATCATGTGACTTGATGTGCTCCAGGAATGAGTCAAGGTCCTTGAAGGTATCTTGACATTCCTTCACTACGCACTTGTATACCTACAAATATAATACAGTACATATTACACATAACTGAACGGATTCACAAATTCATAAGAAAGTTCTTCTTTCGGGAGTGTTCAAAACATATGAACTTCAGTTTACACTTGAAAACTATACAGTGACTTTTATCTTCATTTCTGGAGCTTTATGTAATCTATAAAGTTCCATTAGAGTTGAAGAAGCAAAACATGATATGTCAAAACAATTTTTAGTTTGGCTTAAAAACTTCTTTTGCAGTATGTCGAAGCTGCCAACTGTCAGTATTTACCTGCTGGTCCTTGTGATTAACCATGTGTGCCTTTACCTGCTGGTCCTTGTGATTAACCATGAGTGCCTTTACCTGCTGGTCCTTGTGATTAACAATGTGTGTCTTTACCTGCTGGTCCTTGGTATTTACCATGTGTGTCTTTACCTGCTGGTCCTTGTTATTTACTATATGTGTGTCTTTCCCTGCTGGTCCTTGTTATTTACCATGTGTGTCTCTACCTGCTGGTCCTTGTGATTAACCATGAGTGCCTTTACCTGCTGGTCCTTGTGATTAACCATGTGTCTCTACATGCTGGTCCTTGTGATTAACCATGTGTGTCTTTACCTGGTGGTCCTTGTGATTAACCATGTGTGTCTTTCCCTGCTGGTCCTTGTTATTTACCATGTGTGTCTTTACCTGCTGGTCCTTGTTATTTACTATATGTGTGTCTTTACCTGCTGGTCCTTGTGATTAACCATGTGTCTTTCCCTGCTGGTCCTTGTGATTAACCATGTGTCTTTTCCTGCTGGTCCTTGTGATTAACCATGTGGGTCTTTACCTGCTGGTCCTTGTGATTAACCATCTGTGTCTTTACCTGCTGGTCCTTGTGATGAACCATGTGTGTCTTGAGCTGGAAGTACGTCCTGAACTTAGCACAACAGTACTGACACAGGTACGAGTTATCTACAACCACCTTCACCTTGGTCCTTGTGATTAACCATGTGTCTTTACCTGCTGGGCCTTGTGATTAACCATGTGTGCCTTTACCTGCTGGACCTTGTGATTAACCATGTGTGTCTTTACCTGCTGGTCCTGGTGATTAACCATGTGTGTCTTTTCCTGCTGGTCCTTGTGATTAACCATGTGGCTTTACCTGCTGGTCCTTGTGATTAACCATCTGTGTCTTTACCTGCTGGTCCTTGTGATTACCCATGTGTGTCTTTACCTGCTGGTCCTGGTGATTAACCATGTGTGTCTTTTCCTGCTGGTCCTTGTTATTTACTATATGTGTGTCTTTCCCTGCTGGTCCTTGTGATTAACCATGTGGCTTTACCTGCTGGTCCTTGTGATTAACCATCTGTGTCTTTACCTGCTGGTCCTTGTGATGAACCATGTGTGTCTTGAGCTGGAAGTACGTCCTGACTGCTGGTCCTTGTGATTAACCATGTGGCTTTACCTGCTGGTCCTTGTGATTAACCATGTGGGTCTTTACCTGCTGGTCCTTGTGATTAACCATCTGTGTCTTTACCTGCTGGTCCTTGTGATTAACCATGTGGCTTTACCTGCTGGTCCTTGTGATTAACCATGGGTGCCTTTACCTGCTGGTCCTTGTGATTAACCATCTGTGTCTTTACCTGCTGGTCCTTGTGATGAACCATGTGTGTCTTGAGCTGGAAGTACGTCCTGACTGCTGGTCCTTGTGATTAACCATGTGGGTCTTTACCTGCTGGTCCTTGTGATTAACCATGTGTGTCTTTACCTGCTGGTCCTTGTGATGAACCATGTGTGTCTTGAGCTGGAAGTACGTCCTGAACTTAGCACAACAGTACTGACACAGGTACGAGTTATCTACAACCACCTTCACCTTGGTATTCTCTGCATCATCCGATGGTTGCTAGAAGTCAATAAAGTCTCATTATATCACGACTATCTGGCATCATATGTGTACAGTAAGACTAATGGAATAGCTTTATCATGATATTGGTGTGTGGCTTACAACAAAATCATGCACCGAGATGTTTCAAACAATCATTGAACAGTATTTGGATTAATAGTAATACATGTATTACAAATATTGAACATTTTTGGGGTCTGCCTCTCAGTTCCAAAGAGGACAACCCCCTTCCTTCATATAACAATTCATTTCCTGGTCCCAAGGATACCTCAAGTAGGATTGTGATTTTCCTTTCATGCCTGATAATTTTGCAAATCTCGACCATTGCCATGTTATGACTCACAGACTAAACCACCAATAGCGAGGCTGACAGGGGACAATTTCTTGTAGCATGACTGGAAATTTGTTATAGTGTCAGAATATCAATAATTTTTTATGAAATAACTTGAGGACTATAGTCCAAAGGGGTGGGGCAGACCCCAAGGTAAACCCTGGTAGTGTCATTCAATGGTTTGTTTTATATTTCATTCCTATCAGCTTAGATGAGATCCATACGTGTATATTACCCGAGTTATGATTCAGGAACTTAGACAGCAGGGGTTGCGCCAACCCTCTGAGCCAACCCTGATAGCATAAGAAATTTATCGAGTCTAGCAATTGTGTGAATGGATAAAGGATTGGGATCAAGTGTTTTTATGTTATCAATAAGGGGCAGGGTTGGATCCAGGAGCCAGTCCTAGTAGCATGATTGCTTTTGTCTTTTAATACCAAGTAATTGTATGGAGGGCATCTAGATAACTTATTTCATTGGGTTTTTTAATCAAGTGTTAATAAGTAATTAATCTGTGAACTGAATTGTTGCTGGTCTCAGATGACAGAGAATTGTTGGAAATTTCCCAAAATATAACACACATTAACCTTTGTAACAACACTGCTCCTTCCAGAACTTCTTGGACTTCTCGAACAGTGGGTTATAATAGCATGGGAAATAGTGTTTAGTGGGTGTTTAAAGTTTGCGAGATTTTAGCAGTGTGATAACACCTCTGCAAAATTACACCTAGCACCCGGTAAAATTAATCTGACAAGATGAACTGAAAAGCAACTCATGTTTTTTTATGTATCGCTGGTCACCTTGTCATCGACCATCTGTTCCGAGTCTTGCAATCCACAGGGATCAACTGTTGGATCCACTATAGGATTATTATCCAAGACAACCACCTGTGGGACATCAGTGACGTGTGCCAGGGAATCTTCGTGGGTCATGAGTTGGTTCTGGTTCAGTTCCTCAGATGGAGGTGGGTCCAGCGAGGAGTCGAGAGGGGGCTCCTCGTCTTCCTCAATCAACAGGGGTGACGGCTGGTTTGGTAGAGTGGACCCTGCTCCTGCTGGCCATACCTACCATAACACAAGGATTTGATCTAGACTATTGAATTTTAATTCATATAAAAAAAATAAAAATATGAGCACCCATAAAAATACATGAAATGAATGATAGAATTTAAATACGGATAAAAATGTTCAAAAAACTCTCCTATATGTACAGAAAGAGTTATACAGTTCATGAAATTTATTAATCTGAGAATTTGGTTGGGCTTTTTTAAACACACTTACATTTTTGCATAATTTCATTTGTTTCTTGATTTGTTGCATTTGTTAATTGTTTATGTTACCTTGTGTTAGTGTTGGGAATCGGTTGAGATTTCAACATCAATGATCGGATATAATAAGTTAGTGTCAACAGATCGATTTTCGATTATTATTCGGTTAGCCTACAGTTACATAATCCTTAAAAAAATATTACTTTTGTTTTTAACAATGGCATGGCTTTTCCTTTTATTAATACTACTAATGAAATTTCAACTTTGAAACAGACCCTAATACTTTTGTTTTGCAATTAATTATGTTTAAATAGCATGATTGGTAAGAAGTTATAGTTAAGAGCAAAATGACATAGAACCCCCGTTCTCTCTTAGTGAAAATGAAAGTAGAACTCGCACTTCCAGTTTTGAAAACAATCATTGATGTTGACATCTCATAATCGATTGTCGGGAATCGGTTGCCTTTCTGATTAGATATTGATTATAAGCGATCATCGGGACAACACTACCTTGTGTGTTGCCATATGTTTTTTGACGTTGGATTTCTGTGCGAAGGCTCGCCCACAGACGATACATTGGAAGGGTTTTTCTCCTGTGTGTGCGCGCACATGTTGGTTAAGGTCAAAGTTTTTAGCGAATGTTTTATCACAGTAGTTACAACGTAGCTTTTTTTTCTCGTCCAACACCATGTTGCCATTTTTGCTGCGTTTTAGCTTCACAAGTGAGTCTGCTGAAACAACGGTTACAAGGCTAGCTTGGGCTGATTTTCTTCCTGTACGGACAGAAAATGCATTGATTTACCCACAACATATGATACTGAAAAGTTACATAACCAATTTATTTTTGAAGTATTTCAACAGAATGAAAACTGAATGAATACTCAAACTTTGAAAAAATATCTACAGTGGAATATCTTTATCCAGGTAATAAAACTTAGTCATGACAAAATTGTTTTAAAGCAGGATTTACAAATTATGACAATATTACTCTGTCAATTGACAAAGGTTATTATTCTACATATTTGACCAGAAACCAAACAGCAGCACAAAATGAAATCCTTTTTTGGCTCACCTGCCTTAGTTGGACTTGGCTTAGCTATGTTGCCCATATTAGGGGCTATTGGTTTCTCTGGGAGTGTAGTCAGGGTGATTTGCTGCTGGACTGGCTGTAGATGAATCTGATTGGTAGAATGGACTGTGCTGGTGAAGGCGGAGCCACTAGAGGGCAGTGATGTGGTCACGGGACTAAGAATGGTAACGTTGTTTGGCGATCTTGAAGTGAAAGTCGCAACCTGAGACAGGAACGGACCAGCTGACTGTAAAGTAGAGGCCTGCTATAAAAAATAAATAATCCAGCAAGGTTCTTAAATTATTGATTTGTTCAAATCAGATGTTAATATAAATTCTGTAACATGTAATAAAACAACAGACTGAATGATTTTTTTAAAGATTTACATCTATTCCCCTTTTGCACCCTAACTCTATACACTGTTTATGTAAAATTAAGTCCCCTTAACCAAGGGAATCTTTATACAAAGTAAGATTAAAATCACTTCTTTCATACTGAAGGTGTAGGCATTTTTTTTTTAATCTTTTTATTTCCCTTTCAATCTGATTGAAATACAGCTCCTCATTATACTATCGTATGATAGTAGAACGATGATAGTAGAACGATGATAGAAGACCAATGATAGTAGAACGATGATAGTAGAATGATAACATAATGAGGAGCTGTATTTTAATAGGATCGTTTCCCTTTTGGGTTGATCCCACCTCTCTACCCTCAAAAGGATGAAGGTGCTGGCACCTTCCATTTATACAAAAGTCGCCTCTCTGCTCAACAATTCTCCAGACCAAATTAAGTCAAAATCAGTTCAACCATTCGGGACAAGTAGCGTTTTAAAGAACAGACAAAGGATGCCACAACATGATGCATGCCTATTTGGTCCTTCTGGCCTGGTTAGCTTAAAAACACTGTTATAAATTTGTAGACTTCAATTCTAATTGAAGAGAGACAAGATGAAACTTACCAGTTGAATCGCTGATGTGTCTACGTTGGCGAAGGACATAAGGTCGTCTGTGAGAACCATATTCTGTGGAAGCTGGGTGATGGAGGTCTGTGGTGCGTATGAGGTCTAAATAAAAGTACATCACAAGTGTAAAATCTCACGTTCAGATATAGATTTCAATAATATCTTGTCAATGATAAGTTGTATGGCATCTAATATAGTGTTGGGAATCGGTTGAGATTTCAACAACAATTATCAGATATAATCGGTTAGTGTCAACCAATCGATTTTCGATAATTAATCGGTTAGCCTCCGTTACATAATCCTTAGGCCTATTTCCTTCGTAGCACTGAGCTCGCCGTCATTTTGATTTTTTACTAGCTTAACTCCGCTTAGTTTCGTATCTTTATTTTTTATCATACCATTTCAACATAACAATCTTTATAAATGAACAGTTATCATTTATATTATTTGCAATTAATTATGTTTAAATAGCATAATTGGTAAGAAGTTATAGTTAAGAGTAAAATGACATAGAACTCCCGTTCTCTCTTAGTGAAAATGGAAGTAGAACTTGCACTTCCGATTTTGAAAACAATCCTCGATGTTGACATCTCATAATCGATTGTCGGGAATCGGTTACCTTTCCGATTAGATAACGATTAAAATCGATCATCGGGACAACACTATCTTAATATATGTACCTTAAATAATACCTTACAGTATATAAAACTTAATTTTAGAATGATCTATGTAAAACTGTACACTATTACATCAGAGACAATCTGTAAATTCTTATCAGGATCTCACAGTACATCTGTACCAAAAACATAACTTAGTACAGCAGTGTGCATGACAAAAAAGTTGTAGTTGATCTACTAAATTTTAAAAATTACTACCTGTACTTTATACAAGATGTTTTAAAATGATGTGGACTTCCTGAGAACTTTAGTCACCATAGTTGTCTACCTGTATGAGTTGTGGTCCTTTGTTGACATTTTGCATTAAGTTGGAGGATACAGGCACAGTGTTGACAGCACTACTGATGGCATTTGTCAGCTGCTGAATGGTTTTCTGAGTGACACATCGGCTCTGTTTGTGGTTTACAAAGGCACCAAGTGATGTGAACTGTTTCTTACACTTTCCACACTGAAAGACATCCTCTTCGTCAACTATAACGAAAAAAGAAGTGTTAGCATCTCTTTCTAGATTAAATATAAAGACAGTTCTCTTTAATTTTTACATGGTTGTTGTTTCTTTGGCGATTCATTTTGTGGACACAATGTTTAACATGCCAACAAAATGAGATATAGAATACTAATCTTTATTTTACATATTTGTGAGAAAAAAAATGGACTAAACATTTTCAAATCAAATCACAGTTATCAATAGATAGGCAAAGGAAGCTTACAGCAAGTAACTTCAGCATTGAGTTACGCAATACTTTAATCTATGCATACATGAATGCAATAAAATTGGTTCAGAAATCTACAGCACAAGACACTATAATCGTTTTTGGTGACTGTTAATAAATCCTCTGCCTTTTGGTTGTTATTTTTACAACATGAACAACTCTAAGCCCATGATATGTAGTGTGGTTATAGATTAAAACAGTTGTATATCCAAGATGCTAGACATTTGTGAGCATTTGTACTTTTGGTCACAAGGGTGGGGGCTTATTTGCGGTCAAATATGGTAATTAAAAGAGAAAAAGAATAAGAAAGAAAAAGGTTTAAAAAATTGATATAGAACTTTATAAGTATCCAATATTCTTTCAAGAAGAATATTCAAATACTAAAAGTTTTTCCAGCTCTAGAATTACATGGAAATACCATTAAAAGTCAATGTAATTTTTTCATAACAGTGATAGTATATATCATAACAGTGATAGGATATATCATAACAGTGATAGGATATATCATAACAGTGATAGTATATATCATAACAGTGATAGTATATATCATAACAGTGATAGGATATATCATAACAGTGACAGTATATATCATAACAGTGATAGGATATATCATAACAGTGACAGGATATATCATAACAGTGACAGGATATATCATAACAGTGATAGGATATAGTGATCATCACTTACTTGGAGAAGCATCACTGACTGTGGACTCCAACAAAGACTGAACAGCCACCGCAGTCTGACAGTCCATCCCTGACACTGTAACACAAGATAAGATACATGTTATAGAAATGGGTTTTTTATGCTATTTGAAGCGGAACTGGACTCACTAGGGTCGATCGCCAGTGACCAGGTTACATTAAGCTCAATTGGTAGAGCGTCTGTAAAGAGTTCGGAGGATCTCTGGTTCAAACCCCGGTTTGGCCGTGTATTTTTCCGCTCCTGTTACAAACCTTACTTGATTAATAGAAAAAGTAAACGATAATCGATATGTCATGATGTCAGTTATAATATTAACTTGATCTACGCATCTAGGCAAAGTGAATTCTGTGAACCATTGGAATTAAAAGAAGACATTTCTAAAAAGTAAATTTTCCTTCCACCATTTGAAGTAAGCCTATCTCAAAATAATTAACAACTAATAAGTTTTTAACTTTGTAAAACAATACAAAATCCTGTAACTGTATTTACAGTTGTTATGGGATGAAATATTCATATATATAATATACATATAATATGTTGTACTAATCTTGTTACACAACTAATTGGCCATGTTTCTGTGTTTATTGATCATCATTTGTCAAATGATTACCAACAATATGAATAATTTTGGAAGTCATATTAACATGGTAATCCTGGGTCCATTATCTCAGTTGCAGTATATATATATTCCACATATGTACTTTAAATCACAAAACATTTAGAAGTTCTCTCCATGCTGTTATCATTGTCAGAAAATATAAAACTGGACTGTAACTCTGTATAATATTGAGGGACAAAATTATGCTGGTTAACAATTGTGGTGCAATTCGGAGTAGCTGAATTTTGTTTTCATCCCTTAAACAGAACAGCTTTTTTTTAGTCATTATCAATATTTTAGTAAATGTTTATATTAAATTGATAATGCAAGTTTTTTTGCTGGTAATTGCAACGTTTTGAGAGGGTTTTTTTTATAACTTAGCCAATATGCCTTTTATTATGCAAAATTAATAATCATCAATGAATCCTCAAGCCAGTTCATGCAATATGTTATCAAATAACATTGCTTTGGTTTACTATCGACAAACTGAAGTTTTCTTGTGGCTATGAGGAAGTCATGGGCCTAAGTGCAACTAGTTAGTGACCCAGTGAGGTGAGGCTATTCTGTGTAATGTAACCCCCCTGTAAAATGCGTTATAACCGGCAAGTTGGCCATTCCAGAAATGTTATTCACACCCATTCATGACAACACCTCATTCACATAATTTTACGTACTAGTGTTTCTTTTTTGTAAATCTAATATGTGTTGTCGAACAATATACATTATATTTACATATTAGTTCAGGGCATTTAATTTTCATACGCCGACAGGGAATTTAAAATTGATGTTTTGAGGAGAGCTATCTGGATATTTTGCGTGGAAATCAAAATGGCGGAACACCAACAACATGCAAATTTTTCAGTCTACTGTAAGAATAGATCGGTCGGCTCCCTGTCGTTAAAACGAGACAACGGTTACCAACAAGAATTTAGAAACGATTTTCAAATAAGCTGGTTATGGTCACGACCTGAAAAGGGCTCCAAAAACGTTTGCGCCATAATTTCTTTCAGTGTTTTTCGCCTTCAGAACTGCTGTTCCATCAATAGCGCCCTCTACCAATGGTGCTTGAGGGATCGAAGGGGTATTTTTCTGTATCTGTATTGTATGACTCATCTTTTGTCACGGGAGAGGTTAATTTGGTTAATTAAATCAGAATTCATACTCAAATAAATATTTTTATGCATTGTTTTTATTAAAGATGACTTTTTCAACTGTATGCATTATCTTGTAAACCCTCCACGAACCTTTCAGCGTATATGATCACGTGATATATCATGTGACTGTAGTCATGTGATATTTGTCTATTTTATTCTCAGCCTGAACTGGGTGCTTATTGTATGTCAACATGTACAGTTACAACACGTGTATCTTGTTGATATATTTGATGCTGAAGGTAAAAGAAGGATGCACAAACGAAACCCCAAATGTCATTGTGATGTTGATGGACGATGTAAGTAATTAAGCTGATTGATTACATATCATGTTTTTTAGGACTCGGGGGGAGGTTTTCGCTATATGGGGGGGGGGGGTAGTTGTACTGACGTTTTCGCTATATGTTTGCTGGTTGCTTACATGATTCAGGACAAATCATTCCATTCCAGAATGACTCTGAAGTAAAAGATAGCAGGAGACAAATGTAATTTCATATCTGCTATATCTAAAAAGTTTGACATCATATTCAGACACATAAACAAAAGAATAATCTTGATAGATAGTTTTCTTTTACTAAAGCAGCAATGTGTTTACAGATGGGTTGGGGAGACCTTGGCGTGTTTGGAGAGCCCAGTAAAGAGACCCCAAACCTGGACAGGATGGCCAGTGAGGGAATGCTGTTTACTGACTTCTACTCCGCAAACCCTCTGTGTTCTCCCTGTAAGTACTTGTAAAGGCATGTAGCAGAAAAATATGCATAAACATAATTGTCATTATCAAGTTTATTTTGATAGCTTTTTCCTTTTAAGTAAATATCAATATGTATTTCTTATGTTGTAGCTCGTGCCGCCATGTTGACGGGGAGACTACCTATCAGAAACGGTTTCTACTCCACTAATGCCCATGCTAGGAATGGTAAACCTTGTACATCACTCTCATATACCTACTCCTTCTATCAAGTACCCAGGATTGACCTTAATATACTATATAACAGGAGTGACAAGTACCAAGGATTGACCTTAATATACTATATAACAGGAGTGACAAAATGCAATGTACCAGAGCGGGATTTGAACTTGGGACCTCTTAGACTGATTGCTGTTTTAACAAACTGCGATTCCCTGTCACCCATGATCAACCTGATCAGATTTTACTGCAAAAGTTCCAACAGATAAATCTACAGATTTCAAAAATATCAGTTATGCATCAAACTAATGCTGCTTTTTGCTTATATTTGTGCACATTTGGAATTACAAAAGAAAGTCAATACTGTACATAAAATTGCTCGAAGGTCTTTAATTGATTGGTCACCATGCACATATCCTTGATAATCATAATGTTCAGAAATACTTGAGTATAGTATGAGTTAAAGCTGAACAATTAGGGAATATGTGATCTGTAAGGAGGAAAGTCAGTTATAATTAACTTTGTGTAAAACAGTAAATCACAAAATTTAGTCAAAATTGTTATTTTCACAATTATTCTTTCAACACAATATTTGCAAGGGTTTTAATTTGCAATAAGATTATTTTTGCTATGTATATCGTTTATACAATTATGTCTGAATAGATTATTGTAAGATATTGAATGCACACTTGTCTTTCCTCGACTTGTGATTTACATGTAAGTTATTTACAGTAACATGTGGAAATAACTTTGGAATTTGTGATTGTCTCCGCTCACAAAATAACACAGAAATACATATCAGGAAAACATAATGCAAGTGCTAAACAGTAGTCTGATATGGCCTTTAAAACGTTACCAAGTTTTTACCTATATTGTGCCAAGAAGAAATTGCATTGCACAGGTTACTTTCAGGAAATATCTGCTTCAACTTGATATAGATTTGAACTATTGTCTCTGTATATACAGGTTTATAATAAATGTAGAAGTAATGCTCTGGAGTGAAGTACTGGTAGCTCTTACAGTTGGAATTTACATAAAAAGTATCATTTTATTTTATTGTTTCAGCCTACACCCCCCAGAACATTGTGGGAGGTATAGCAGACTCTGAAATCCTCCTGCCAGAACTTCTAAATAAATTAGGATATCACAACAAAATTGTTGGTAAATGGTATGTATGAAACAACAAAGCAGTTACAATACATCAAATCACAGTACATGAGTTTGATTTACTCTATTTCAAAATAATCACAAATAGCAGATGACATCTTCTGGTCAGTCTTGATTTGCATCCAATCAGTGAAGATTCTCGACATTGCCAAAAATGTTGTGTAAACAATGTGGTGAAGGAAAACATGCTCATGCTTACTCATTCTATGCACAATAGGTTTCTTTACAAATCATACAAATAGATACCTTAGCTGTAATACTCTATAAAGAGGCTATAACGTGTTCTACTTAACTGTAGTAGTACCTGGTAAAACTATACATGTACTGTATATTCCAGGCACCTGGGCCATCTGCCCCAGTACCATCCCCTCAAACATGGCTTTAATGAGTGGTTTGGTGCCCCTAACTGTCACTTTGGGCCGTACGATGACGTCCACACTCCAAACATCCCAGTCTATCGTGATGCACTCATGGCCGGCAGGTTTGTCTCAGATCCTCACTCATCTGTTACCTATAACGCCTAAGAAATGGGATGTTGTATTAAGAAATGCTTCAAAGATAGTCGTATAACCCAAAAAATCTGTTATATAATCAATTATCTTGATAATCCAATTATATGATGTTCCAAACAATACATTTGCAGCTTCTATCACAGTCAGTTACTTTTAGGGATCATTTCTATAGTATGTATCGCCGGGATGTCGGGTAAAACTGACCAGACCGTTATATTCAAATGTAAACTATAAATGTGTGCTGTGCCCTTGACATTAAATGGAGACCGCATTGAAATTAGAAAGAAAGAAGACATTTGAATTTCAGAAATATAACCTTGACATTGCAGATTATTGATAACCATGGCATCATAGATATAGTACATTCTTGACATTACACATGTATGGTGATACATGAATCATTATTACAGATGTATGGCAAACCATTCCCTTGACATTATAGACATATATATTGTCTGTTTGACATTGCTTGTGTATGGTGACCTTGATATTACATATGTATGACCTTGAGAAGCAAATTTTGTGTGTGTATGTGCATATTTGACCTTGGCATCAACGATATTTATAGGCTTATGATGGCCTTGACTTAGGGCTGTCCATACTTAGTGATCCTCATACAGTATTATATATGTCTGACCTTGACAAGCATGATGACCTTGACATATCAGACAAATGTATATTAAAGCCTTAACAGTATAGACAATTGCTGACATTGATGTTACAGATATTATGAAGATTTCCAGATTGATAGGAAGACAGGATTATCCAACCTGACGATGATGTACTTAGATGTATGTATGACATGGTACTCTTCTTTGCAAGAATTATGTTTGTCATCTTAAATATCAATTTTAAATACTGAAAAAAAATCCAGTGATATTATCTCAATTATGAATAAAAAGAAATCAGTTTTGAGAAATGGTTTTTAACTGTAATGAATTGGTAGAAGTGCATTATCTTTTTTTTTTAATTGAATTGATGAAATTTGAAATTACTATAACTGCTTTGCTATTTCATGAATTATGTAATGGATTGTCTATTACATAGATCTGTATAATATTATATATAAGGTGATGTCTCTATAAAGTAATGCCTATATAAGGTGATATCTCTAAAGTAATGCCTATATAAGGTGATGTCTCTATAAAATAATGCCTATGTAAGGTGATGTATCTATAAAGTAATGCCTATATAAGGTGATGTCTCTATAAAGTAATGTCTATATGAGGTGATGTCTCTATAAAGTAATGCCGAAATAAGGTGATGTCTCTATAAGTTTATGGTTGTATAAGGTGAAGCCTCTATAAGTTTATGTCTATATAAGGTAATGTCTCTATAAAATAATGTCTATAAAAGGTGATGTAACAATAGGTTTATATCTGTTATGTCTATATGAGGTGATGTCTCTATAAAGGAATGCCTATATAAGGTGATGTATCTATAAAGTAATGCCTGTATAAGGGGATGTCTCTATAAAGTAATGCCGAAATAAGGTGATGCCTCTATAAGTTTATGGTTGTATAAGGTGAAGCCTCTATAAGTTTATGTCTATATAAGGTAATGTCTCTATAAAATAATGTCTATAAAAGGTGACGTAACAATAGGTTTATATCTGTTATGTCTATATGAGGTGATGTCTCTATAAAGTAATGGCTATATAAGGCGCTGTCTCTATAAAGTAATTCCTGTATAAGGTGATGTCTCTATAAGTTATGGTTGTATAAGGTGAAGCCTCTATAAGTTTATGTCTATATAAGGTGATGTCTCTATAAGTTATGGTTGTATAAGGTGAAGCCTCTATAAGTTTATGTCTATATAAGGTGATGTATCTATAAAGTAATGCCTGTATAAGGGGATGTCTCTATAAAGTAATGCCGAAATAAGGTGATGTCTCTATAAGGTTATGTCTGTATAAGGTCATGCCTCTATAAATTTATGTCTATATAAGGCGATGTCTCTATAAAATAATGTCTATAAAAGGTGACGTAACAATAGGTTTATATCTGTTATGTCTATATGAGGTGATGTCTCTATAAGGTAAAGCCTATATAAGATGATGTCTCTATCAAGTAATGCCTATATAAGGTGATGTATCTATAAAGTAATGCCTATATAAGGGGATGTCTATATAGGGTAATGCCTATATAAGATGATGTCTCTGTAAAGTAATGCCTATATAAGGTGATGTCTCTGTAAAGTAATGTCTATATGAGGTGATGTCTCTATAAGGTAAAGCCTATATAAGATGATGTCACTATAAAGTAATGCCTATATAAGATGCTGTCTCTATAAAGTAATGCCTATACAAGGTGATGTCTCTTTAAAGTAATGGCTATATAAGGCAATGTCTCTATAAAGTAATGGCTATATAAGGCGATGTCTCTATAAAGTAATTCCTGTATAAGGTGATGTCTCTATAATGTATTGCCTGTATAAGGTGATGTCTCTGTAAAGTAATGTCTATATGAGGTGATGTCTCTATAAAGTAATGGCTATATAAGGTGATGTATCTATAAAGTAATGCCTATATAAGATGCTGTCTCTATAAAGTAATGCCTATATAAGGTGATGTATCTATAAAGTAATGCCTATATAAGGGGATGTCTATATAGGGTAATGCCTATATAAGATGATGTCTCTATTAAGTAATGCCTATATAAGATGATGTCTCTGTAAAGTAATGCCTATATAAGATGCTGTCTCTATAAAGTAATGCCTATATAAGGTGATGTATCTATAAAGTAATGCCTGTATAAGGGGATGTCTCTATAAAGTAATGCCGAAATGAGGTGATGTCTCTATAAGTTTATGTCTATATAAGGTAATGTCTCTATAAAATAATGTCTATAAAAGGTGATGTACCAATAGGTTTATATCTGTTATGTCTATATGAGGTGATGTCTCTATAAAGTAAAGCCTATATAAGATGATGTCTCTATAAAGTAATGCCTATATAAGGTGATGTCTCTTTAAAGTAATGCCTATATAAGGTGATGTCTCTATAAAGTAATGCCTATATAAGGTGATGTCTCTATAATGTATTGCCTGTATAAGGTGATGTCTCTATAATGTAATGCCTATACAAGGTGATGTCTCTTTAAAGTAATGGCTATATAAGGCAATGTCTCTATAAAGTAATGGCTATATAAGGCGATGTCTCTATAAAGTAATTCCTGTATAAGGTGATGTCTCTATAAAGTAATGCATATATAAGGTTATGTCTCTATAAGTTGATATCTGTTAAGTCTATATATGGTTATGTCTCCATAAGTTGATGTCTGTTATGTCTATATAGGATTAAGACTCTATAAGTTGATGTCTGTTATATGTCTATATAAGGTGTTGTCTCTATAAGTTGATGAATGTTATGTCTATATAAGGTGATGTCTATAAGTTTATGTTTGTTATGTCTATATAAGGTTATGTCTGTTATATGTCTATATAAGGTGTTGTCTCTAAAAAGGAAGCTGTGCAGTTCATTGAACAACAATACTCAAATAAGCAGCCATTTTACCTGTACTGGACTCCTGACGCCACACACGAGCCTCTGTATGTGTCACAAAAATTCCTCAACACCAGCAGACGTGGATTGTGAGTAAAATGTCGAAAGCACCACTTTCGCAAGACTTTTGAAAAATATTTGTGAGAATTTCTCTGTAAAATAAAATTTCAAATTATGTGTTGATCATATCAACTGATTTCAAGTGAAAAGATATTTTTGTGTAAGATTTGGATTCTGGTTTGCTCTCTTTTGTTGAACATAACTCAATTTGGAGATTTTAATGCATGTAGTTTTTAATTACAGGTGTTACGCTGTGGTTAGTTATAATTATTTAGTACAGGTGTCCCGAGTATCATAGACTGCTGTATTTTACACAGGTATGGGGATGCAGTGCGAGAACTTGACTATGCAGTTGGAGAAATCCTGAAAACTCTGGTAAAACTAGGACTTGACAAAAACACTTTTGTATTTTTCTCATCAGACAATGGAGCAGCTACTTATGCCAAAACCTCAGGTAAATGTATTGTTGTTTAGGCATTGTGAATATGTATAATGTGTATTCTTTTACCTGTTTTTGATAAATTCTGATTCAGGATGATGTGCTGTAACATATTTGAATTAAGGCATTAAGTTGTAGCGGAACTGGACTGGGTTGTTCATCAACGACCAAGATAACTCCACTGGTAGAGCGTCCATCTAGCGTTCAGAGGGTCCCTGGATTAAATCCGGGCCGGTCTACCAATGCATTTTCTGCTCCTGAGTTACCTGGTCGCCGATGATCGACCCAGACCAGTTCTGTTACAACTGAAATTGGGATGTTTGCATCCATTTTATTGTGATGTCAGCGGTTTCAGATAAAAGGTTGATCTTCTTCCAAATATCCATATACAGGTGGTAGTAATGGGCCATTCCTTTGTGGTAAAGAGACAACATTTGAGGGTGGTATGAGGGAGCCAGCTATTGCGTGGTGGCCAGGAAAAATTTCGCCAGGCCAGGTAAACTTTCCTCTAATTGCATAGTATAGAAAGTTATCTTCTTAATTATATAGCATATAAATAGTGTAGTAAATTTCTGCTTAAGGGTAAATTACCTATCAGTATATGATCACTATACACTTGACAATTCCTTCCCATTTTGGAAACTGAAAAGACTTCATTGTAGGGTACTGTGCCCAGCAAACAAAATATCAATTATAACATTCTTTTAAAGGATTGGGGGGGGGGGGGGGGGGGTTTTTTTTNGCAGTTATCTCCCTGTATTGTTAATACATTCAAAAGGTGCCACATCCTTTAGTGTTGTTTTGGCAGGTGTGCCACTGATGGACCTGTTTTGGTGAAGTATTTATAGGTGTACATCCAGGTTGTGTTGCTGATGGATGTGTTATGCTATGGTTTCATGTTTACAGGTGTCCCATCAGGTGGGGTCATTGATGGACCTATTTCCTACTGTGCTTGACCTAGTGGGTATCCAACCACCTTCTGACAGACCAATTGATGGCATCAGTCTCAAAGATACACTTTTACAAAACACTCAAGTTCACAGGTAATTGATGAATAGCACACAAGCAGCTGCCTGTCAGCTTGTCTGGTAAATATGACAAGTGTTTATATAGACACATTTAAGGATTTATGCTACTTTACTTTCACATGCTTCTTCTTTAACGTAGAATTCCAAAATATCTGTTTTGAATGGAAATTTACACTTTGTTAATTACTTTTTACCTTGTTTAAAAAGTACACTAGAATGCATGCCTAAATAACAATTATTAGTTAATGGTGATGTTAAAATTATAAGGGAGATACATATTCTGAATATGGGTGTAATCAATACTGAACTGATATATTATGTAAAATGTAACATTTTTCTTTCTGTTTAGTATTCGATATAGCAACTGTTAAATAAGATATATGAATTGTGTTCAGACAACCTGTTTGTGGGAACTTTTACAATCTGCACTGGTAAATAGTTTGGAGAACACGGGTTATCATAAAAACAATTTTCTGATAAATAAATGTTTACATTGATGGGCATTCATAATAATTAAATCACAGGTATAATGTGTTGGAAAGTTAATTATAGTTAAGTATAAAATACATGTACTGTGTAAGGGAGATAACTCTGACACTGGTATAACATGTAGGGTAGACTTAATTTTCATTGATTTTAGTTCTGTACTTGCCAACTTTAGAATATAATTGGAAAAGAAATTTTGGGTTTTTGAAAAAGTATCAAAAGTAAGGGCAAAAAATCATCTTCCTCCAAAAGTACTCTGATATATGCTGGTATCTTGTAGGCCAGTGTTTTACTATCGTGGGAACACGTTGATGGCAGTACGTCTGGGTGATTATAAGGCACACCTCTGGACCTGGACTAATTCTATACAGGAGTTTAACAGGGTGAGGTGTGATGTAGAGGAGTTTTACGTGATGGGTTCTGTTGTAGGTTAATATGAAGGGGACAGCAGGTTAGAATCAACAGATCGCTATCGGATACCATACTGCATGTTTTTAGGTCGTCATAAAATGATGTTATATAATTATGTCATAATCAAATTGCATGTCAACAAGACGATCACTTGATTTTCATATAAGTAGACAGCATATTATAAATAGTAATTTAATGGGAGGGGCAAAATTTACACTGGGAAAAAGTTGATTTTATTGGTGAAGGCTGAATGTTTGCATGAATGAAAGTTTCCCGGTACACAGTTAATGAAAGTCTCCACTCTAAAATATATGATGATTGTTAGAATAGTTGAAATTTGTTCATATGGTTGACTGATTTAGATGAAAGCTCACAGGTACATTTACTTAAAATAAAATTTCACAATGAATCCAGCAGGAGCAGGAGGCATCGTGAGCCTTGCTCACTTTCTCATTTTTTTTTTTATCATTTTAACATGAATATCATTAATAACCTGAAAGTTACTTAACATTTCCACTTGTTTTGTGTTGACAGGGTGTTAACTTCTGTCCTGGAGAAGAGATACAGAACGTAACAACACATGATCAGGTCGAACACGATCCATGGTTACTGTTCCACATCAACAGGGATCCAGGCGAGAAATACTTCATCAAGTAATCTATTTGATTCAGAATTCTCTATTTACAGACTTTGTTTATCTGTTTGTGTGGGGGGACTATGGACTAAGTTCAATGTCATACTCTTCAGTGTGTCTATTGAATGAAACATTGAACACAACTTAATGTTTTAAAATAGAAAAAATATGACCATAGGATATCAAGTACTCATACATGTAGTAATTTAATTTAAAGGAAGAGAGTCCCAGTGCTTTGTGTTCTACCTCCAATGAAGAAGAGTTCATTTGTCTGGTTGTTTTTAATTTGCAGATGCTTGTAACAGTTTGTTCATTTATTGTACCAAAAGGTTATATAGGAAAGAAAATATATATCGTAATTTCTTTTCTTCACAAAACTTTTCCCATACATGTACAGGGGTTGAATCTCTGGACCTCTTGATTATAAAGTAGGGAGTTTGTATCCATTGCACTACCAGTCATATCTGTTCCATTGATGCAATATTACTAAGAAGATTTTCATAATGTTCCAACTCCTAAGCATCAATATAGACAAAATATTATAAATTTAACAGGGAAGTATTCAATCAAAGCCTGTAACAAAATACAGTAGAAGTATCAGGACTCTCATCATCGGATACCCACGGTTGATTTCGCTTCGGTACGAAATCAACCGTGGGTATCCAACGATGCAGGACTCTCTACCTGTATTTGAACTTTCCAGATCTACCACTGAGGAATACAAGAAAGTGATTCCAGAAATACAGGGGGTTGTAGCTGTCCACCTCAAACACCTGGTACCCGGCACACCACAGCTCAACATGTGTGATGATGCTATTATGGCAAGTTATACCTTGATCATTTGCTCTCAATTCAAAACTGTGTGAAGAAATATTTTTACCAATTAGCATGGCCTTTAAGAAAACCTGAACACGCAGATTGTCTTGCTTGGAGTGTTCTAAATTTTCACTCATATGTGAGAAAAACATTGATTAAGCCAAACAACATTTGTCATTAAATGATGCTGCCATATTGAAAGTTGTTCACAAATAAGTGAAACAATCTTGTGTAGACTATTTGCATAGACTGTATGATACTTAACATAATTTGTGCAAGCTATGACTTAACATTTATGGCAGTGTGGTTGTTTAGTAAGGTCAAAGGTTGCTGCATGTTACCATATTCTGTCTTTTCGTAATGCAGATTTATCTGCTATTGTGAGCAGGTGTTGATTGTTGCGTCATTAGTTTGTGTGAGAAAATTACGTCGTTTTCTCAAAATATTATGACGTTATCTCACAAACAAATGACGTAACAATCAATACCTGCTCACAAGAGCAGATTACTCTGCAATACGAAAAGACAGAATAGCAGATATGGTCATACCAAGGACACCATGACATGTATTAAACTTGTTCAATTTTCGTTTTTAGAACTGGGCGCCCCCTGGATGTGACAAGGGAGGTAACAAGTGCTATTCCCCACCTTCTCCAAAACCACACAAGTGTTCATGGCCTCACTAGTAAATATGGAAGACTGCTCATATCTGTGATACTCGGAAACTACACTGCTGGTACAGGCCATACAACTATCAACAATCTCAAAGTGGAGTAGAATCTCAGGAAGTACAATCCAAAGGAAAATCTCAAATGATACAACCAAGACAAGACGCATAGTTGACTGACTTATTTATTTAGCTTTTGAAGAAATACTTAAGTGCTATTCCACATTATGATTATACACGGAGGCCTTTTTATTAATGTTTTAATGGTGTTGGGGTCTGAAATGATTGACAGGTTTTGTAGTGAGGACAGGGGAAAACATTTAAATGTAGGTGGACCCCAAAATGGGAATGAGGGTTAATCTTACTCCTTTAGTACTGGTGAAGGGATTTTTAACCTAATTAGACAAGGGGCATTCCATGGTCAAGGGAATTAATTAACATCAAATAATTGAAAGTTTTGGCATCTTTCAGTTTCAGAAGGGGAAAAGGAAACAGTTACTGATCTTTAAAAGACTACTTTAATTTGAGTCAGAAATGTCATCTTGTTCGGAGATGAAAGCTGCGACAACCCCTGGGGTAGATGGCATCTTAAAGTACTGATGCAGGTATTTTAACCAACTTTTGCTTTAAGTGGGCATTTATTTTTGTATAACCCTGTCAGATTAGATGGGTTTAACCCATAAAGGGAAAAATGAGTAGTTGAACAGGTCAACTATGTCATGCTTTACATAGGTTTTATCGTATTTTATCCATTGCTAATTGTGGAAATCTCAGAATTTTGATCTTTATTCTCCTAAATATCAATTATTATACATGTATTTAGTAAAGTGCAATAATTGCATTATATTGTATAAATCTGCTGTCAGTTCAGCTGACATTAAATACTTGTACACTGTATTGTCATGTTGACATTCAGTCCGTCTCAGTGCTGTCTCTACCATTGTGCTTGTTTCAATATCACTTTGAAATAGCTAAGCCTTGAAACTGATAGCTTTTTTTCAAAATAGTGATCTGATCATTTTTCTTCCACTGCAATTTCTCATATTTCCTTTCACATCAACTTACAGGCAGTCACAACAGCGACACTGTATTGCTGGACAAATTCGAAGTTGAATGTTATTTTTCCACATTTTGTGCCATACCTAACTTGAAAAAAGTCGTTTCTGTAATCTTATGTTCTGCTGGTGTACCTGTTGCTTCATGTATCACTGGGCTGTTGTTGTACATACCCAGTATGTGGAATCATTCTGGAATTCATGTAACACAGGGCGGTTGTGTACATACTCTGTATGTGGAATCATTCTGGATTACATGTATCACTGGGCTGTTGTACATACCCAGTATATTGAATCATTCTGGAATACATGTATCTGTTGCTTCATGTATCACTGGGCTGTTGTACATACCCAGTATATTGAATCATTCTGGAATACATGTATCACAGGGCGGTTGTGTACATACCCTGTATGTGGAATCATTCTGGAATACATGTATCACTGGGCTGTTGTTGTACATACCCTGTATGTGGAATCATTCTGGAATACATGTATCACTGGGCTGTTGTTGTACATACCCAGTATGTGGAATCATTCTGGAATACATGTATCACTGGGCTGTTGTTGTACATACCCAGTATGTGGAATCATTCTGGAATACATGTATCACTGGGCTGTTGTTGTACATACCCAGTATGTGGAATCATTCTGGAATACATGTATCACTGGGCTGTTGTTGTACATACCCAGTATGTGGAATCATTCTGGAATACATGTATCACTGGGCTGTTGTTGTACATACCCAGTATGTGGAATCATTCTGGAATACATGTATCACTGGGCTGTTGTTGTACATACCCAGTATGTGGAATCATTCTGGAATACATGTATCACTGGGCTGTTGTTGTACATACCCAGTATGTGGAATCATTCTGGAATACATGTATCACTGGGCTGTTGTTGTACATACCCAGTATGTGGAATCATTCTGGAATACATGTATCACTGGGCTGTTGTTGTACATACCCTGTATGTGGAATCATTCTGGAATACATGTATCACTGGGCTGTTGTTGTACATACCCAGTATGTGGAATCATTCTGGAATACATGTATCACTGGGCTGTTGTTGTACATACCCTGTATGTGGAATCATTCTGGAATACATGTATCACTGGGCTGTTGTTGTACATACCCAGTATGTGGAATCATTCTGGAATACATGTATCACTGGGCTGTTGTTGTACATACCCTGTATGTGGAATCATTCTGGAATACATGTATCACTGGGCTGTTGTTGTACATACCCAGTATGTGGAATCATTCTGGAATACATGTATCACTGGGCTGTTGTTGTACATACCCTGTATGTGGAATCATTCTGGAATACATGTATCACTGGGCTGTTGTTGTACATACCCAGTATGTGGAATCATTCTGGAATACATGTATCACTGGGCTGTTGTTGTACATACCCTGTATGTGGAATCATTCTGGAATACATGTATCACTGGGCTGTTGTTGTACATACCCAGTATGTGGAATCATTCTGGAATACATGTATCACTGGGCTGTTGTTGTACATACCCTGTATGTGGAATCATTCTGGAATACATGTATCACTGGGCTGTTGTTGTACATACCCAGTATGTGGAATCATTCTGGAATACATGTATCACTGGGCTGTTGTTGTACATACCCTGTATGTGGAATCATTCTGGAATACATGTATCACTGGGCTGTTGTTGTACATACCCAGTATGTGGAATCATTCTGGAATACATGTATCACTGGGCTGTTGTTGTACATACCCTGTATGTGGAATCATTCTGGAATACATGTATCACTGGGCTGTTGTTGTACATACCCAGTATGTGGAATCATTCTGGAATACATGTATCACTGGGCTGTTGTTGTACATACCCTGTATGTGGAATCATTCTGGAATACATGTATCACTGGGCTGTTGTTGTACATACCCAGTATGTGGAATCATTCTGGAATACATGTATCACTGGGCTGTTGTTGTACATACCCTGTATGTGGAATCATTCTGGAATACATGTATCACTGGGCTGTTGTTGTACATACCCAGTATGTGGAATCATTCTGGAATACATGTATCACTGGGCTGTTGTTGTACATACCCTGTATGTGGAATCATTCTGGAATACATGTATCACTGGGCTGTTGTTGTACATACCCAGTATGTGGAATCATTCTGGAATACATGTATCACTGGGCTGTTGTTGTACATACCCTGTATGTGGAATCATTCTGGAATACATGTATCACTGGGCGGTTGTTGTACATACCCTGTATGTGGAATCATTCTGGAATACATGTATCACTGGGCGGTTGTTGTACATACCCAGTATGTGGAATCATTCTGGAATACATGTATCACAGGGCGGTTGTTGTACATACCCTGTAATTGGAATCATTCTGGAATACATGTATCACAGGGCGGTTGTTGTACATACCCTGTATGTGGAATCATTCTGGAATACATGTATCACTGGGCTGTTGTTGTACATACCCAGTATGTGGAATCATTCTGGAATACATTCCAACATGTGTGAATATCCAGATTTGTTATTATGTGTATTCATTCAATTATTTTCTGTCTGTTTTTATTATTATTATCATTTAATATTTCTTTTTGTACATCTTTACTCTTTATGCTCACTCTATCTGTGGACATTCTATAGTGTGCTTTATACTAATTTTTGTTACCAAAAGAAATTGAATATCATTAATATTTACGTTGTATGATTTTTATCTCAAAGATGCATTTGTAGTCTGTAAATAATATTGAGGTTATTACCAATGTAATGACTAACATGCGAGTGCTGGAAATTTAATTAAACATATTTTAAGTTAATGAAGGGTCACTTGTGTTTTGTCCCAAGGATTTGTTTTTATTTACTGAATGGTGCTGCTTTTATTTGGAGTCACTTGTCATTAAGGGTGTTGTTTTAAAGAAAATTACCTTTGAAATCTTAAGGTTCCATTTACACTCATCTCTACACTCTTGGAATATTTAATTACAAAATGGAACGCACATGGTTAGGCATTTAATTGGTTTTGGGTATAAACTGACCAATCACTACGCTGATACATGTCCTCATCCTCGATAATCCAGGGGTTACGCTAACTTATGTTCTCTGCACCCCTGGAATATGTCTTCTTGTCTCATCAACAAGGTGGCGCACACCGAGCCTTCAATTTTGCAATGACATATTCCAGGGGTGCAGAGAGCGAAAGTGAGCGTAACCCCTGGATATCGAGGATGACCTGTCCTTTGAAGATTATAGAGAAGTGATACCTGACTTAAGAGCCAGTCAGTTTTACCATTATCCTGCTGCATTTATTTTTTAGGTGCATCAAAGAATCAAACTCATCTACATGTATCCTATTCACGTGCAAGGTGGTGAACATAGAGCCTTCCAATTTGTCATGACATACTTGAATCTTAAGTGAGAGGAACCCTTGGATTGCAAAGAAATTGAATCGAACTAAGTATCAATATGATACCATACCTACAGAAAGAAAGTATGCTTTGTAGAAAGTTTCAAGTAAAATTTTATGCAAAAAGAACCCCAAAAAACAGAAATAACAGGTCTGCTCTCATTGATCCATCCTTATGGTTTGAATAGTCGGACCCAAGTAGTTCCTTTATGAAATAGCAATGGACCTAGAGGTTTGATATTTCCTGATGACCCTTGCAAAAGGACTTTCACAGGTCAGTGGTAAAAAAAAATACTGGTTCTTTCCTGTAAATGAAAAGGTCACATTTTGAGCAAAAACTGGAAAGTTATTTCCCCTTAATCATGACATGCAAAGCTTCATGTCCTTTGATCTTGAAACTAGAACTCATTTGGTTTAGTTTTAAATTGAATACATAAGTAAGAAAAACAAGATAACTGTAAAAAGTGTTGAATACAAATAAAATGTATTTGAAAATATCAAATATCACAGACAGCACACTGCTGTCCAATCAGCCATATTCTTCTACAACAAATATCATGCACTACATCAGGACAAAGTCTAATGCTTTCAACTTTCACCTTCATTTAATGATATTTGGAGTATACTGTATGGCTGATAGGAAAGCCCTGTGTTGTACAAAATCAGAGTAAATGTACAGCCATCGTCAGAATTGGTACCAGCGGTAGAATAATATAAAACATGATACAGTGGATATTATACTGGTATTTAGAGAAGAGAGAGTGGAGAGCCTGGTTGTAAAACAGTACTACTATAATATGTGTAACAATCTTATGAACACCAGACCATGGGAGCCCAAAGGTGAGGTTTGAGCCCAAAAGTGAGGTTTGAGCCCAAAGGTGAGGTTTGGAACCATGGTAACTAAGTTGATATTACTGTATAATCAGTATGTCCGACCTCAGCATACGTCCTGGTACTGGAATACTTTATAATCAGTATGTCCGATCTCAGCATACATCTTGGTACTGGAATACTGTATAATCAGTATGTCCGATCTCAGCATACATCCTGGAACTGGAATACTGTATAATCAGTATGTCCGATCTCAGCATACATCTTGGTACTGGAATACTGTATAATCAGTATGTCCGATCTCAGCATACGTCCTGGTACTGGAATACTGTATAATCAGTATGTCTGATCTCAGCATACATCCTGGTACTGGAATACTGTATACTGGAATACTGTATAATCAGTATGTCCGATCTCAGCATACGTCCTGGTACTAGAATACTGTATAATCAGTATGTCTGATCTAAGCATACATCCTGGTACTGGAATACTGAATACTGGAATACTGTATAATCAGTATGTTCGATCTCAGCATACGTCCTGGTACTGGAATACTTTATAATCAGTATGTCCGATCTCAGCATACCTCCTGGTACTGGAATACTGTATAATCAGTATGTCCGATCTCAGCATACATCCTGGTACTGAAATACTGTATAATTAGTATGTCCGATCTCAGCATACATCCTGGTACTGGAATACTGTATAATCGGTATGTCCGATCTCAGCATACATCCTGGCACTGGAATACTGTATAATCAGTATGTCCGATCTCAGCATACATCCTGGTACTGGAATACCACTTCATTGCTTAATTCTTCTGTGTCTCCTGGATTTGTTTTCTTACAAATGATTGTTGACGTTCTGATAAGCCAAACAAATCACACTCCTGGAATTGTAAGATAAGGATCATCAATGGGTTTATGTCTAATACAAAATTGACATACAATGCTTCATGTCCTTTGATCTTGAAACTAGAACTCATTTGGTTTAGTTTTAAATTGAATACATAAGTAAGAAAAACAAGATAACTGTAAATAGTGTTGAATACAAATAATAAAATGTATTTGAAAATATCGAATATCACAGACAGCACACTGCTGTCCAATCAGCCATATTCTTCTACAACAAATATCATGCACTACATCAGGACAAAGTCTAATGCTTTCAACTTTCACCTTCATTTACTGATATTTTGAGTATACTGTATGGCTGATAGGAAAGCCCTGTGTTGTACAAAATCGGAGTAAATGTACAGCCATTGTCAGAATTGGTACCAGCGGTAGAATAATATAAAACAAGATACAGTGGATATTATACTGGTATTTAGAGAAGAGAAGAGTGGAGAGCCTGGTTGTAAAACAGTAGTACTATAATATGTGTAACAATCCTATAAACACCAGGCCATGGGAGCCCTAAAGTGAGGTTTGAGCCCAAAAGTGGGGTTTGAGCCCAAAGGTGAGGTTTGGAACCATGGTAACTAAGTTGATATTACTGTATAATCAGTATGTCCGATCTCAGCATACGTCCTGGTACTGGAATACTTTATAATCAGTATGTCCGATCTCAGCATACATCCTGGTACTGGAATACTGTATAATCAGTATGTCCGATCTCAGCATGCATCCTGGTACTGGAATACCACTTCATTGCTTAATTCTTCTGTCTCTTCTGGATTTGTTTTCTTACAAATGATTGTTGATGTTCTGATAAGCCAAACAAATCACACTCCTGGAATTGTAAGATAAGGATCATCAATGGGTTTATGTCGAATACAAAACTGAAGTGTCAATAATAAACAATGCTCTAGAAAACTATTATCAGAACATCATGCTTCAATCCTGAACCACCTTGTACTGACACGTCAGTAATACTGTATAAAGGTACACCACCAATTCTAATAATCTTTAGAAACAATGAGCTTACAGTCAATTCTGTGTTTGGATTTACAGTACATGTATAGTGCTTAGAGATCCTCATGAAATAATGTATATCAGTAAATGTTTTCCATAGTTTAACCTTTGCTGATTTTGCCCTCTATTATGAGGGCAAATTTATCACATTGGTGAATGTAGTATTAAAAATAATTCCACTGAGAAGTTCTTTAATATGGACTTAACTTATGAAGGGTGAATGTTTTTAATGGACAAAGTTTCCTTGTTATACAGTACTGACAGAGACTTTTGTTTCACAAACACAAAAGTAAGTAAAGCTAAATCTGACATGCTCACCTGATCAAACTGCTCTAAGGAACCAAAGCCCCCCACATAGCCATTGAGCCTGGCAGCCACATGAGAAGTAACAATGTCTTCATCAGAGAGATTCAGTTTGTTTAGAAAATCTTTGTGCTGCCTCAGCATGTACTTCTGGTGGTAACTGTAGAACAGTAAGTGAACAACCAAAACGTATGTCTACAACACAACATGGTTGTTGACATCAGAATAATGAAAAGTGCTATTGGTATGTCAAGGATATACAAGTTAAAACATGTTTATCTAAAACAAAAGCACTGATAACTAACGTGGTTACATATCCAGAGAAGTATGGGTGAGAGGTCCATTACCTGACGTTGAAAAGAAACCCAGTATTCATTGGGTATAATAGTTTTTATGTAGCATATAACCTGCGGGCAATCTGCTCTGACTTTATTTCCTAAACTTGATAATTTGACATGTGCATGCAATGTAACAGATAGTGGCCTATACATTACAGAGTAGCATGTATCAAAAGTTATGTCTGTTGTTAAAGACTAGGGTATACCTACTCTTCAGCATTGTAGAATTCACCAGCAGGAAGGATTTTCGTTGCTATGGGTCTTGTCATTTCCTTTTGGAATTTGTCCCTCGATTCTTCTGCCACCATCTTCTGTTTTGTGCTATGATAAAAGATGGCAGACATGTATTGGTTACTACTCTTTGAAAAAGGGCTGTGATTTGTCCAGAACATCTCCAGTAACTCACCAAAGCTGATCTTATTTGGATCAAAGTCCAAGGCGACAGTTTCAGTGTGATCACCTCTGAAACATGAAATTATTTCCTTCAAACCTTCTTAGTATAAATCCTAGTAATTGATATTCATATATTCTAATTTAGATTCTTAAACATCAAGAAAATGGTCACTGATAAGCAATGAAAAACACTGTAGTAATAAAACTCTTTACATATTTATTAAAAGCAAAACTCTAATGGTGTCGTTATAGAATAGATTTACTGTATATCAATACTATTCATAAAGGCAGAAATAAAGTTGAACAACAATGTCTTACATGTTTCGGTATGTTGCACCCTTTGTTGAACCACCAGTGAATCCAACTCGGGTTTTAACCACACCAGGGACACACCCAAACCGGGCATCTGGGAACCAGAATCAGCCCATGGCAAATGTGGCCTTCTCCAGTCTGCCTTCAACTGTCTCGGACATGTTCTATAAATATAAACATTTCTTTTATAGTTTGATCTTCATCTAAACAATCATCCAATATTACAACAGCCAATTAGATAATACATTGTATAATTTATTGTGTTCCGTTGAAAGTGTGAAGCCGTTGATCCTGAAATTTAAAAGAATTTTATGTGTTTTCATTTCACATGATTCCCCATTTCAGTAATAAAATTGTAACTCATAACGGTAATTGTTACTCAAATGCTAGCCCGAGTTTCCTCTGGCCCTGACACCAGACTAGGACATTTTGACAGATAGTATCCTCGGGTTACCGGTTTCCGCGCACTTAAGAAGCATCCGCGATTTCGTACTCATATCGGCAGAAAACTGTTGAAATTACGGAAGACTGTCATAAACATGTATACAATCTACTAAGGGAAACAAAAAACTAACAACATAAAACTGTATTTTAAACAAGAGATCCCAGAGGGATCTTGGCGCCCACCTTTGTACCATCTTCATTAGTTCTTTGTCAGTTCGATCTTTTCTCTTCTTTCCTCTAATCTGTTTGATCGAGTCATGTTAACAGTAAATGCACCTTGAGGTAACTTTTGATCTAAACTTAATACTGATGTGTATGAAAGCCAACCTTCAAAGTGAGTTTGTCATTTCACATATTTACTAGTACAGTACTTAATGTGAAAGAAATAGAAT